ATATATATATATATATATATATATATATATATATATATATATATATATATATATATATATATATATGAAAAGTGTTTTAAACTAAACATAGATTTTTATTTGGTTTGCACATGTACTTCCTGCATTACTTCAAGGAATAAATAGCAATATTTCAAGAAGTATTAATTAAATGAATAAAAACTACATTATTACATTTACCAAAAACAAAAATATAACATTACACTGAATTCATTTTTTTTTTGTGTGCCACCCCAAGATTTGGTGCGGCCTCATCTGGCCACCCCTAAGAAAATTTTCTGGGGGCGCCACTGATCTTTACAAGAATGACTTTAATGTTTAGAGTAATTGTTTAACAGTACTTAGTGTTGCTGAAATACACGAGGGTTTCAGATAAACACTACACTATATTTCTCTTTTAAAAGGCGTGTAGCCAAATTTACACCCGAGGCAAAGTACATTATATCTGCTCATTTTATAAGAGAAGTGTTTGAAAGAATTAGAAAAAGAGCATGATAGGCTAATTTTGCCGGGGGAAACAAAAATGTAATCAGAATGTAAAGCGGGAATTTGGTGAATGTGTAATTTGTTTAAAACATATATTTTAATATTTTTACTCGCAAATAAAATGAAATTCGTTGTGCGTTTGCACTTTGCGAATAGAGAAGCTCATTATCATTAGGAATTTGCAAGCAACATTTTGTAAGAGGAATTAAATTTATTTCCCCGTCATCATCATCATGTCGCCATTCTTACCTGGCGGTGTTTCTGTCGCCGTTGCCATTTTCTCCACACATGAGGGCGGGAAATGCGTCCTAAAATCAAATACATTCAAACCATGACCACAACATTGACACAAGTCTGACTGTCAGTGCTTAGAATTAAATCAAACACTTTGCATAATATATGGTAGAAGGAAATCAAATGCACTCACCACGAGTCGAGAGCTGCTGTTTAAAGTTCACTTCAGATTCATCAGTGGCGTCAAGTTTATTACTGTACCAGTAAAACAGGTCTTGATCCTGAGGTTTTTCAGAGCAAGAACGAGCGAAGTTCACAGATAGTCATCACAATAAACAAAACACTCACATGACAAAACACTTTAGCAAAGAACTTGAATTTATCTGTTGAGGTAATACTACAGAAACATAAGAAAAACAATACACTACACTGTAGTTTACTACAGCTACAGGGTATATTTGACAACAATACACTAGTCCCCCATAGAAAAAAAAGTATATCTACTACAGTAGGCCTTTTATTAGTTTTTCAGTTCACTTAGTACAGGGGTGTTCAAACTCAGTCCTGGAGGGCTGGTGTCTTGCAAAGTTTAGTTCCAACCCCAATCAGACTCGCCTGTACTAGCTAATCAAGCTCTTACTAGGCTTTCTAGAAAACATCCTTCCAGGTGTGTTGGAGCAAGATGGGGCTAAAACCTCCAGGGCGCCAGCCCTCCAGAACTGAGTCTGAGAGGACACCCCAGCTATAGTAAATACCACAGAAGAGTATTCATTAGTTTATCAGTTCCATATTGTAAATATTACAGTAGGCTGTAGTGGAGCATTCAATATCAAGGTGTTGCAAGTACTATAATATATACAGCACAATACATTTTAGTACTGTTCAAGAACAGTAGTATTTACTATAAATGACTACAGTATTATTTCATATGGGATTGGAGAGCTAAACACACAACTTCAATAAACTGAACAAAACAGCAGAGTTTGTTCAATAAACTTTATTCATTTGATCAATATTAATATCTCCAGCTGATGATGAACAGATATAATAACAGTCGCATGATCAGATGATGATGAATGCATCTAGGGCTCAGAGTAAATCAGTTGGATTCTCTCTAACACACACACTTCATTTTATCAGAGCAGAAAATGAAGTGAAACCGAAACACACTGATCTCACATCCATTCACACTCATCATTATCATGGAGATTCCCTCATGGCAGTGCAGATCTGATCTCAGGCCAGACCATCAACATTCATCTCATACTCAAACACACAATGATTGATTCTCTCTCACACAAACAACCACACACACAATGGTCTATACTATAATGGCTGTAAAGAAAGCACAGAGATGTGAATCGCCCACAGTTCTCTTAATATTATTCTATAAAGTACCCTGGAATAAAGCCTCTCTTCAATCTAAATACTCTGAATATCTTGTAGAGGAACTTCAACAATGTCTGAAATCACATTATCAAAACAGATTAAGTGTTGAACATATCCAAATAGCAGTGTCCAAAACACCTTAGACCCAGAGCCAGCGTGACCCTGCCCACTGATCTAACCACACCCACCCAGACTCCTCCCACACACATAACCCTCTCTAAAAGGGACAGTTCACCCAAAAATGAAAATGATCATCATTTACTCAGCCTTTACTTGTGTGAGACCTGTTTGAATTAAGTGAATTACTTGTTGAACACTAAACAAACTACTTAAAGAATGCTGAAAACCTGTAACCATTGACTTCCATAGTATTTGTTTTTCCAACAATGGAAGTTAATGGTTACGGGTTTATTAGCTTACTTCAAAATACCTTCTGTAGTGTTCAACAGAAGGTTTGAAACCCCTTGAGGACGAGTAAATAGGGAGTAAATTTGTATTTTTGTATGAACTATCCCTTTACCTCCCCTATTGACAAAAACACTGTGACCCCGCCCACCCAAACTCCTCCTATACATTAGCCACACCCTCTTTTAACTCATGTATAGTAAAGTACCTCATGACCAGACCCACAGACTCCTCCCACTTATCTAAAAACACCTACCCTTCAAAGACACCTCCCACTGGCTTAACCACACCCACATTTAACTAATATGACCAAACAGCAAACCCCGCCTACAGACTCCTCCCTCCAGTGAATCTGGTCATGCGCCCGCCCACAAACAGACTCTTCCCCCATCCCTGGCTTCCTTTCCTAAATCCAACAGGCTCCAGCAAAGCCCTTGTGACCCCGCCCACACTCAGACTCCTCCCCTGAATCCACACAGACTGAAATAATCCCCCTCCCCGATACAGGCTCCTCCCTCTCACTCCCACAGACTCCAGTAATGCCCTCATGACCCCGCCCCTACAGACTCCAAAAATCTCCTCGTTTCCCTGCCCACATCAGACTCCTCCCCCTGTAGCCCAGACTACAGTAATCCCCCGTGACCCTGCCCACACAGACTTCTCCCCCTTCCATGACTCTTCCCCCTGAAGCTCACACACTCCAGTAAACAGCTTATGACCCCATCCCTGACTCCACACAGACTTCAGTAAACCCCCGCCCCCACACAGACTCCTCCCACTAAAGCCCAAACAAACTAGCATACCTCTCGTGACACTGTTCCCCCATCCCAGACTCCTCCTCCTGTGGCCCAGACTCCAGCAAACCCCCCTCGTGACCCCGCCCCCATACAGACTCCTCCCCTAAGGGCTAAAAGTAGTATACCCCTCGTGACCCCGCCCCCATACAGACTCCTCCCCTAAGGCCTAAACAAAGTAGTATACCCCTTGTGACCCTGTCCCCCCACCCAGACTCCTCCTGCTGTAGCCCACACAGACTCCAGTTAACCCCCTCGTGACCCCGCCCCCACCCTGACTCCTCCCCCTGCAGCCTGCCCAGATCTCCAACACACACACACACACACACACAGCAGTGGTGGGTGACTCTGCAGCGTGTGTGTGGATGGAGGACTCAGTGTAAACGCTGCGGCGGCCCGTGTCGGACTCTCCCTGATAGTGTGAAGGTCTGGAGCTCGTCATCACAGCTCGTTGCGCGAGCGAGAGATGCGCGGCCCTTTGCGGATCTCTTTCCTCTTCTCCTCCTTCCTCCTTCTCTTCTCCTCCTCACGCAGAATCTTCTGGAAGGCCTCGGCTGTCTGCAGCACCTGATGCACAGAGGGAAGGAGTCTGTTTGAAACACTACAGAAGGTCAGAGCAGAAGTATGAGGCGCCAGAGTGGACAAAAGCCAAGTGAAAGCAGAGAGGCCGAGTGTGCGCAAGGTAGACCCATGTGTGCATGAAAGAGACCAAATGTGTGCGGTAGGCCAAGCGTGCGCGAGGTAGAGGTCGAGTGTGTGTAAGGTAGACCCATGTGCGCATGAAAGAGACCAAATGTGTGCGGTAGGCCAAGCGTGCGTGAGGTAGAGGCCGAGTGTGTGTAAGGTAGACCCATGTGCGCGCGAGATAGATTAAGTGTGCGAACGGTAGACCGGAGTGCACACTAGAGAGACCAAATGTGCCCGGTGGGCCAAGTGTGTGTGAGGTCGACCCATGTGCATGCGAGAGAGACCGAGTTTGCGAATGAGACCGATTGTGCGCGAGAGAGACCAAATGTGCGCGGTGGGCCGAGTGTGCGAATGGTAGACCGGAGTGCGCACGAGACAGACCAAATGTGCGTGGTGGGCCAAGTGTGTGCGAGGTAGACCCATGTGCCCGCGAGAGGGAACGATTATGCGCGCGAGAGTGACCAAATGTTCGCAGTAGACAGAGTGTGCACACTGTAGATCGAGTGTGTGCGCCAGAGACCGAGTGTGCGCGAGAGACTGTGTGTGTGCACAGTAGAGAGAGTGTGCACGAGGTAGACTGAGTGTGCACGCTGGGAAGGCCGAATGTGTGCAAAGTAAACCGAGTGTTTGCGCATATGTTTGAGTGTGTATGCTTGTGTACACGTACTGGCCACTTTATTAGGTACACCTCACCAGTACCGGGTCGGACCGCCTTTTTGCCTTCAGAACTGCCTTAATCCTTTATGGCAGAGATTCAGCAAGCTGCTGGAAATATTCCTCATAGATTTTCCTCCATATTGTCATGATAGCATCACACAGTTGCTGCAGATTTGTCGGCTGCACATCCATGATGCCAATCTCCCGTTCCACCACATCCCAAAGCTGCTCTATTGGATTGAGCTCTGGTGACTGTGGAGGCCATTTGAGTGCAGTGAACTCATCGTCATGTTCACCAGTCTGAGATGATTGAGCTTTATGACATGCTGCGTTATCCTGCTGGAAGTAGCCATCAGAAGATGGAGACACTGTGCTCATAAAGGGATGGACATGGTCAGCAGCAATACTCAGGTAGGCTGTGGCGTTGATGCTCAATTGGTACTAATGGACCCAAAGAAAATCTCCCCCACACCATTACACCACCACCACCAGCCTGAACCGCTGATACAAGGCAGGATGATCCATGCTTTCATGCTGTTGAGGCCAAATTGTGAGCCGAGCATCCGAATGTGTCAGCAGAAATGGAGACTCATCAGAGCAGCAACGTTTCTCCAATCTTCTATTGTCCAGTTTTGGTGAGTCTGTGTGAATTGTAGCCTCAGTTTCCTGTTCTTAGCTGACAGGAGCGGCACCCGGTGTGCTCTTCTGCTGCTGTAGCCCATCCGCCTCAAGGTTGGACGTGTTGTGTGTTCAGAGATGCTCTTCTGCAGAGCTCGGTTGTAACGAGTGCTTATTTGAGTTACTGTTGCCTTTCTATCAGCTGGAACCAGTCTGGCCATTCTCCTCTGGCCTCATCAACAAGGCATTTGCGCCCACAGAACTGCCGCTCACTGGATATTTCCTCTTTGTCGGAGCATTCTCTGTAAAGCCTAGAGATGGTTGTGCGTGAAAATCCCAGTTGATTTCTGAAATACTCAGAGCAGCCCGTCTGGCAGCAACAACCATGCCATGTTCAGAGTCTCTTAAATCCCCTTTCTTCCCCATTCTGATGCTCGCTTTGAACTGCAGCAGATCCTCTTGACCATGTCTACATGCCTGACTGCAGTGAGCTGCTGCCATGTGATTGGCTGATTAGACATTTGCTTTAACGAGCAGTAGGACAGGTGTACCTAATAAAGTGGCCTGTGAGTGTGTGTTTATTGAGTGTAAATCCATGCATGAGGGTTTATGCATTTGTGCAGGTGTTTGTGTATTTATGTCTGTGTGTGTTTGTTTGTTTGTTTGTGCGCGTGTATGTCCAAGTGTGTGTGTGTATATGTGTTTTAAGTGTGTCCATTCATGAGTGTGAAACTCACATCGTCTCGTTCTGTCCTGTATGGATTGACGAAGTCTGCAGATTTCTCTGTGATCCCCAGCTCCTGTGACATCTGAACACACACACACACATACACACATACACACACACACACACACACACACACACAGGTCAGTGGTCCAGAAGTGTATACGCTGATGCTGACAGTGTAATCCCCCATGATGCCCTGCTCTGACCAGTGTGAGCACGTGCTGGTGTGCTCCTCCGCTGAAGACCCCGGTGTGGTTGCAGAAGCTCAGACCCCAGCGCAGCAACACACTCCAGTCTGCGTTACGCTCGTAATAATGGTGCACGATGCGCGGGAAACGCAGAGCCACGTCACCGAAGAACGCCGTGTTCTCCACCACGTGAGAGTACGCTGCACACACACACACACACACACACACACACACACACACACACACATTAAAATGCACAGAAAATGATTAAAGTGACACAAAATCACACAAACAAACAAACAAACAAACACACACACACAGTTTCTCACCTTCTTTGAGTTTGTCGTCGAGTGGGAACGGATCATCAGGCCGCATGTTAGCAGCTATAAGCACAGCTCTGGAGTCCTCCAGCACCTGAACACACACACACACACACACACACACACACACACACACACGGATGTTTTTTACTGTACACAGTAAACACTCTGCACATTTACATCTTCACACTCTTGCAGTCTGGCTGATTTATGAGCACACAGTGTGATGAATATCTCTCACACACACACACACACACACACCTTGAAGAGGCCCTTGAGCATGATGTCGATGATCTTGTACTGCTGGTTGACGTCGTTGAGCTCCACCAGATTCTTCAGAGCGTTCAGCTGATCTTTCCTCTTCGTCTCGAACAGACGCTTATCTGACGGAGGAGACCATCAGGAGAACAACACACACTGATATAGACACACACGGATATATCACTCAGACACACACACATCCATCAGAGAAACATGCAAAAACACATCAGTTAAAACCACTAGTCAGACATCATCACACACACATATCAGTCACACACACACACACACACACACACACACACACAGAGAGAGGGAGAGGATACAGATCTCCAGGTTGGAGTCGTGTCGGTGTCTGTCGGAGTCGGAACCAAGGGCTGCTGGAGCTGCCAGCAGCAGCAGAGCGCAAACACTCAACATGACCACTAGAGGGAGAAACACACATTCAGTATTCACCACACAGAGAGAAAGAGAACGAAAATTAAAACCTCATAAACAATACAGTGACTCATATTCCTCATGTTCAAGCTACTTTGGATAAAAACAATAATGAATGTGATCACACATGAAGATTAAGACAGATTACAACCAGGCTTAAACCTTACATTAAAAACCTTAATGCCTAAAACACACACACACAGAACTCCAGATTAAGACTCTGTGCATTGAACACCAGAGGCTAATGACTATCTGAAGATTTACTGCAGGCTTATAAGGACACAAAATCAGGAAAGGAGCATCTCTGTGTAATTAATATTAAAGTGCTTTAGTAATGAGCTCATAAAACACCTCTGAGATCATTAATATGCACACTTCAGCCTGCTTTTGATAGGACAAACGTTTTCTAGTAATACAACAGTGACCATTTTCCTCCCTCAGTTAATATAAGCTTATATTTCACATACTATGCAGGAGGGACTTTTATTTTGAAAACATGAGCAATCAAATTGTTAAAGGGCCATGAAAGCCCCTCGTTTCAGCAGGGTGTTTTCACACCTCTACTTTGGAAAAAGTCAGAAAAGTGGGCGTGTCCAGCTCTGTTTAGGGGGGAGTGTCGGAGGAACTAAAGAGGCTTGGTGTGGGAGTGTCTATTTGGGCGCGCTGAATTTCAGAGTCAAAAACACACAACCACAGCGGACAATGTGACTGTGTTTACATGGACATCTGTAGTCGAATTATTTGCCAAATTATTAAATGTTGGACTTTAACTGCAGTTTGGCTCTTTCATTCAGGGAATTCATTCATGCCCCTCCCGATAAACGTGATATTTGATTCGAGGAACTGCTCTAAGTGTGTATTTTTCATGCAATGTTTGATACCGCACGGCGAATGAGAGAAAAAAAACTCAGCATTTCCCGGAAACTTAGATACACACGGCAGGTAGCGTCAGAAAGCCGCGTGTGTTATTCCGGTCACAAAATCCAACACGCGGTTATAGTTTGGTTGTAACTGTTAGTGCTAACTTGTTTACACTCGTTGCAATAGTTTGTTTGATACGAATAAAATACGAACTGAATAAACAAAGAGCACTGGTCGCTCACTTACCAAATCTGTAGAGACAGGACAATCACCAGCAACTAGAGCCGCGTCTTTATTAAGAGAAGACTACAAGCGAATCCGGATCTCAGCGTTTGCAGATGAGAACAGCTCTCAGGTAAACAATAATCCTCCTTAGACACGTAAGTTATTGTTGTCGAGCGTCGCGTACACTGTTAATCCACACGTGACTCCAGCTGAGCTCTCACAGAGAGAAAATGAAAACAAAACTTCACTGCAGCAAACTATAAAAGCAACACTTCACGCTTGTTTTGCCAACACAACGTGGCGTCTCTGTCATCTACACTGTGACAGTAATGAATATTAATGAAGTTGCACAATAGAGCGCGCTGATTGGTTTGAACCAAGCTTTACTCATGCATTAATGCAGCACACTGTAAGACGTAATAAGACACACTCTGGCACAGGCGTCCAGTCTGCACGCTGGAATACACGCTATTATGTCATGACCGTGACGCAGCTTCAAAAATTAGTTTCAAACAGGAAGTACGAATTTGCTTGAAATAACGCAAAAACAACCAATTTACACTTTTTAGTGAAATATAGGTGTCCTAATAGTGT